TCATGATGAATGTAGACTGAAGTATGGTACCACTCTAGATCAAATCAAATATCTACATATTTGTGCAAATATCTACATTGTGTGCTACATATTTTCATTTTTCAGAAAAAAAATAGATAAAATCATCTGAGAAATAAAAAAAATATACTTGCACAGGTAGATTAAAATTAATAATGTCATTTTATTATTATGAACTATCTGCTGCAACAAACTTTAGCTTAGCAGATGCACATATAGAGGCACCATTTTTAGCTGGCTATTTCCAGTTAGGTACCTAAATCTCTACTGAGGTTAAGGGCCACCATTTTTTTAAAGAGGTTAAAATAATGCTGTTTCCAAGAAATCATTAGAAAATGTCAACAACTGGCCACATCTGAAAATGAAACTAGAAAGTGGCTGCATTGAAGTTAGCATTGAAAATCTAAGTGACTTGTAGAGGGCTGGGGAAGGGGTAAGGCTTTCACTTAAAACTATCTCTTGATAGCAAACTGATAATGAAACAGATTTGAAGATCTAACACTAAGATTTTTCTTCTTTTTCCAAGTATTCTGTGTATGTCATTAGTGGCAATGGGATGGCACAAGCTGCAGCACACTGGATTTTACAAGTCAAGACTCCACTTACTTGGGTTATATAGCATACCCTTTAATAAAAAGTTCTGCAGCACTTGTTTTACAAACTGCAGAGTGCCCACAAATACATTGACTTCATTGTGAAGACAGAGTATTTATTGTGTATTGCTGAGTCATATTAAGAAAAAAAAATAGAACAGTGGCATTAGTCTTATCAAAAAAAGGAAAGAAAAAGAATTGTCAAATACATCTTCCTTTTATCTTTTTTTTTTAATGAGAAAATCAAGAAATATGTCAGAAACATATTACATAGTACATGCTACTGTAATAGCGAAATGACCGTTTTATCCTGCTGTTGCTCCACCTGCTCCTTCCTAAGGAGAAGCAGAGATAGCACACGTGCGCACAGGGGTGCACGCATATACGCAGAATATACCCCAAATGCAGCAGTAACTGCAGCACGCTAGAGGGAGCCATTACATAATTGCAATGACCCCCTTTAATTTATTTTGTATTTTATTTATTTATTTATTGCCTTTTCCCCCTATTAGCAGAACTCGCGTACCAGCTATCTGGACATCCCGAGATATCCTGCAAGGGCTGCGGGACGAGGAGAGGAAAGCGCAGGGCTCAGGCCAGAAGGAAACGAGCTCCCATGGTCACTCACCCCCGGGCTTGCTCGGGCGCTTGCTCCCCGCGCTGCTCTCAGGTGTGGCTGTTGGAAACAAGTGCCTTAGCCCGCACACGCTGATATTTCCGCAGCCAGTCTGGAGCCCTGGCGCGGGAAGCGCAGCCTGGCTCGTAAACAGGCTCCGGATTCCGCCTGTCTGTCGCTCTCGCGCGGAAAGTTGGCACGTCTGAAAGCAGTGACTTTACGGCGGCGCTAATGTGCGTGTACTTTATTTATATTCTGCGCTTAAACACAGCGTTGGTTTCACAGCGGTGCCTCGCACGGCAAACTCTCCATTTCAGAGCCACCAAGAGGTCTCGGGGGCTGCAGAGGGCTCTGGAAGGAGCCGCTCGTTTGAACGCATAAATTCGCAGGACTTCCTCTAAGTTGAATGGTATCATAAATAACGCGGAGAGGCTGGAAAGGTTATCCCGGCGACTGAGGAGCGAGGGGAGCGATCCCGCTAAGGGCCGCTCCTCAAACAGCACTCGGGAGCGCCGCGGGGCGGGATTTCCCCGCGCGTTCCGCGCTCCCCACGCAGCGCAAGCAGCGGCTCCCCGTGGGCGCGGTCCCGGGGGACACGACACTCACCTGCCCCCCGCGCCTCCGTTCCGTGGGGCGGCGGGGGGACGGGACACCAGCGGGCGGTGAGAGGCACGGGAGGGGGGTTGCGTTTGCTCGACGGGTTTCCTTGCGATTCCCAACCCCACCA